TGATGACCTCGACTTGGCTTGAAGTCATGTCGACTTGGCTGGGCCCAAGTAGGCTCGGCTCTCCCGCCCCAAAAGAAGTATGTATGTAGCCACAAACGTGGGAGATTTTTATGCATCTCGGGGGCAGGTCAGCCTTCTCCGTTTCGGTTTCAAGACACGGACGGCCCATGATGAATGGGGCCGTCCTGTCTGTCCCCCCCCCCTCCCCTTCCTCCCTTCTCTCTCGGCGACGTTTGGCCCAGGCTGCATGAGAGAGTGTGGGAGGGGGTTGTAGTCATGCAGCCTGGGGCCTGGTTGTGTAGAAACAACGAGGTGCCGCCAAGACAGCAAAAATGTTTGCTTTCCTTCCATCTACGCTACCTACCTGCAAGAGATGTTGTACCCCCAAAAGGATGGTGTAGTAGTAGTAGTAGTCATTGCGTGTCAAAGGAGAGCGAGCCATCATCTATCTGCATGACATCAAAGGGCTGGACAAAATGTACACAGCCTCTCTGAACACATGACACCGACTTGTTTTGCCGGGTGACGTGCCTCGTAGCCTTGGTAGTTTTTTTGCTTTGCTTACTTTTTTCTGGCTCTTCATCAGGGAAAAATCTCTTTCCTTTATGACGCAATCACTAACTATACCTATCAAAAAAACATGAAATCATTGTGTGTTTTGTTGAGGCTCGTGACAAAGAGACATCTTGGGCTGGCACAACGCAATATCCTCCAAGTCTCACTTTTAAACCCGACTTTTTTTTTTTGACTGGAACCGCAGAGACGAGTATGCGAGTGCATAACACGCACGTTTCTACAGAATACCAAGTATCTTGTCGTTGTCGTTGTTGTTCTCCTCCTGTTTCCGTTCGAGCAGGGAATACAAAAGTAGAAACAATGTCAAAAATAAAGGCATCGAGTTTCATGCAATACCATGCGACTTTTTTTTTGTTTATCCGACACACCACAGATATACCTTGCCCCCCTCCAGTGTCCTAATCTTGGCCTTGCCATCATGTGTACGCTTTTATACACACACACACACACACACACACACACACACACACACACGACGGACAGAGTACGG